CCCCCCGCCAAGCGACGAAGGCGAGGGTGGGGTGCCCGTTTGCAACGCACGCTGAGGCAATGGACACCAGTACGCGCGCCTCGGCAGGCGTTCCCGAAATAGGGCACACCTGATGCAATTGATTTGTTAGTGGAGCTGCGGTGTCCCGTTGAGGGCGCGACCAAGGGCGGGGCCGCAGCCAGGGCGATAGCCCCAACGCGCATGCGCGAGGACCTCGTGCAAAGAAGCGGCGTAGGCGTTTTGCACACACGTGTTTTTCCGCCACGCTCGTCGCAACGTGCTGTTGAGTTGTTGCTCGTCAATCGGGTGGGCATTTCTTTTGCTAGCTCAGGCTCAAGCAACCTAGCCGAAGTTTAGGTTTAGCGCCTTCTCCGTCGACACTCAGCTTCACAGCCACGCAATTCCAACACCCAACCGGATATTGATGGAACGTGACACGACCCCGTAGATACCCCTTCCTCCGTTTCGTTGGATATAGGCAGTGCAGTGATGTAGCGAACGTTTGTCCTAGATACTGGTGATAATGTGCACTCAATACACTTCGGGGCAGCAACATGTCCAAACCCATTCGTCTATAAGACAGGCAACGAGTCTTGAAGCGAAGCCACCTTGACAACAATTCAAAACCCTACCACTGGACTCACCGCCTATAGAAAATTTGCCCAGCCTGCGTGCGAAGCAATGGGCTGCGCAAGTAGCAGTGCGCAATTCTCGGTGTCAGTTGGGTCATCGACTGTGACATATGGCGCCCCACCTCCAACTTTCGCAGCTCCACCTGCTCCAACTCCGTCCACGCCGGCTCCCGATGACGCTTGACTTGGCAGCAAGGGTAAGCTACCATGGTTACCGGCGAGCCGTGCCCTCTAGAAATGCTGAACTTAAGATCTGCTGGATGCGATTGAGCTCCGGGAGATGGTTTTTTGGGGGGGGGTTTTGGGCTATTAGGGACATGGAATCCGTTTACCATTCGAGCGACGTGATTCCAGGACGATGGCATGGAAACGGTCATGGTCAAGGCAGGCAGCCAGTTGAACAGGTTGTGTAAGCGCGGCCAGGAGTTTTTGTGGTTCTTCTTTGCACCCGTGCAGTGCTGGTGGTTCGGGCAGTTGTGGAGTTGATAATAAGTTCCTACTTTCGCATGTGCGCGTACAGACCCAGGCGGACAACTGTATATATCGGAGCGCAGTTGCGACCAGCTCCCCGCTCGGTTCAGCTTGGAAGCACTAGAAATAATTAAGCAGTAATTACTGACTCTACTGCTCTGCATATTGGAAGGCGCATGCAATGGAGCCGCCATTTGCAGCCGCAATGCAGGGGAACATAAAAGATCACATGTTGCTTTTCATTTGCATTATGTTGGATCTCTGCAGGTACCCTATGGGGCGCGCCCGGGTCAGATCCTTCAGATGACAAGTCCGAGTGGGCAGAAAATTCAATGCCCAGACGCTTGGATTGGTTGGGTCATGTCGGGCCAACCCCCGCCCTCCTCAGACACCACAAATGTTCGCTTTACTCGTTTCCATCGTCGTTCCTCCGTTTCGCAGCAGGTGCCTGCAGGCGTACCACCAGGGGGCACTTTCCAGGCTCGGGCCTCGGAGCTTCACCTCACGTTCTTTTCATTTAAGAGCTCATCTCATTCAGCTTTTGCAGAGGTGAAATATAAGCTTGGGCCGAAGGGTCCCACGATTATCGATGAACGATCCAGAGGCAAAGCTGCATCTCGGCAATCGATGTGATGGATCGCTCCTTTGTCTTGAAACCTTTGGTTAAGACTCGACCGCTCAGGTGGCTGCTACAATCTTGCTTCTTGGATGCAAACTTCACAGGTTCAATGCAGTCCATGTCTACAACTGGATGCCTGTAGTGGCATTTTGCTGCGATGCCTTCTCTCAATGTGGAGGGGGGACTGTGCGTGACGAAGCTCTTTCAACATGAAGGACCGACCAGAGCCTGCTAAGCATAGGAAACCGTTAGTCAGTCGTTAAGCTGCAAGAGTACTCGGTTTTCTTTTTCGCAAACTGGTCCCAAACCGCTCCATGCAATGAGGCCAGCATATTGGGCGCCTCCTGGCGCGGATTTCGGGACAAGTGCCAAGGGGACCGGTGTTCTGTGTGGGTTGGCATTCGCTGAGCGGCGAATCCAAGATGGGAAAGGCAAGCATCCTGGAGCTGAGGAATGTCAAAGTTCCTGACAATAACGCCTTCGACCAGATGAATCCTGGCCATCCGATTTGAGGGCCAGTTCTGATTTCGAGATATTTCTAGCGCTGCAATTCCGGAATGACTGCCCGAATGACTTCAAGAGTTTTTGATGGTGGTGGAGCAATGGAGCACCAGCATTCTCACTCCCCCACGCCCGCTTGTGGTGTCCAGGATCTATGTCGACCGGCAGAAGCACGAGAAGTTCAACGAACTTCTAGAGAACACTTATCGCCTGCCGGCCAGACCAGCGTATTAATTTGCAGGTGCCTGTCAGCTGCGACGACGTCACACGGAAACCCTCTGCGTGCCGAGGTGCCAAGGCGACGCAAGACAGGCAACTGGCTTGCACCGATATTGACACGCAATGCAGAGCCTTCATACGTTTAAGGACGCCAAAACTGTGGAATGTGAAAACTACAACCCAGTACTTGTAGGACAGGATGTGCAGAAAGACATGGCATACCGACTCTAGACATCTAGGACCATGGGAGACAAGACTGCCAGCTCACGATGCTGACTGGCAGCTGATGCTTAACCCCAGCCTTGCATTTTGCGACCCGATGTGCGCCGTCAAGGAAGTGCCCGAGAGGCGCTTGCCCCAAAACCCCAGGAGGCCAGCGACGGCAAGTTGTGGTTTCGTCTTGCCATATCTTGGCGACTTAATTTGGATGTTTGTTGGTCACGTGCAAACGGAGCCGAAGCTGGAGCCCACCGGCAGAAGCAAGTGCCGAAAACAGTCCTTCAGAGTGAAAGTCCTTACCCGAGTAAATGGGGTAGGGGCGAAAGTAGCACGACATCGCATGCGGCTAGAACGGCGGCCAGGATGCCCTTGTGTACAGCCTGGGGCAAGCCCTGGCTTGCCAACCGGCTTCAAGGTAGGACCATGGGCTCATGGTTACTGCACTGCGTTCGAGGTTGCGTCGGATGCGTCGGATGGTTGTTTGACACTCGCAAGGACGCACGTGTCGCTTTGGTTCCCTTCTTTTCTCTCGTGCTGCAGTCGACGTTGATTTCTTGCACTCTCAAGTCTCAGACACATGTTCTGCATCTACGCGGTCCATGACTGAATACCAGGTGTGTGTTAAGCTGCCGGTGTTCACTCTTTGCGGTAGTTTTGGTCAAGGTGATAAACTGTGCAGGGACGGGAAGGTCAGGGTAAGGTCTGGGAATGTATATCACCTTTTGATGCTTGGTCCCGGACTACTCGGTTCGAGCTGGACTTAAGGCACAGCATACAGTATGTGGCTGATGCATACCAGCCTTATCGAAATCAATTTTGCTAAACTCCGGCCCATGTTCCGACAATGAGTAAACCCAAAAACAGTGTAGCCACACTGCTGACTGATGCGACGAGACTGTCCTCACCACGACTCTACCCGGAGCTGATTTGTGTCATGGCCAGGTCCGGCGGGTTGTGCGCGTAGAAGACTCGGAAATGTGGGGCCGCTATGTGGACCAACGCCACCGCCTTACAGGATGCCGTGTGCCATTTGTGAATATGCGCGTGCAGGAGGCCTGGAATGGTTTAACATGGATCGTTCAGCGACGTCGAGTCGTCAACGTCGCATGTTGTTCACACGAGATCTTTGGATAACTTTAGCGGCCAGCCCGGCAAACTTCAGTAAACATTGCTATGAATCCCATGCTTCATCAGGCAATGCCATTGCCCAGCGGCGAGCAGCAGCTGTTCGGCCGCAAGTTAAGTTGTAGCACATGTTGCGGCTTCCTTACGTTTTGGCACATGGAATTCTCTACGTTCGCAGTCCAACTCAGTTCATCATCTCAAACATGCTGTGTTGGCCTCAACATGTGCCACAGATGGCTTTGGTGCCAACGTTTTTCTAGTGCTGAGCAGTACTGCATCAGCCCACAAGTGTGACTGCTGCTCTCAGCCTGCTTGCATCCAGACGTTGCCCAGTACCACCTTGCACAATGCTAGACATGGAAACCTTCAAGACAAAAGTCGTTTGGAAAGCAGGAGATGCCAATACAGCAGCTGGATCCGCCGGCTGTGTCCAACGAAGTGGTTTCTCAAGAAGTAGCTGACGATGACGCGGGCGGCCGCTTGACATGATTCATGAGCGAAACCCACGCGCGAGCCTATCTGAAGTATTATTGTGTTTCTTGCACAGCTACAGCATGCAGAGCGAGTTTGCACTGCACGATGATGAACGAGGGACCTTCAAACGCATCCGTGTTGAGGCTGCTCACCTGAGGTAACAGTAGGATTTTCGAGCCGCTGGACCTGGAGTGACCTGGTTTGGTTGGCGTTGGCCGTGCTGTTCACGTTTGCTGGCCAGAAAGCGTGGATGTTTGACCAGTGGCGCGATGATGTCAGGTTGAATGAAATGTACCTCTGGCATGGCACGAACGTGCGCTCGGCTCTTTCGATTGCGCAGAGTGCATCTCGGACGCCGGTTTAGTCTAGTTGCACCACTATTGCATCTTCTGCGATTTCTTCATCGCACTTTGGGAGACGCATTCTAGAAACTCGTGTTGAAGTGTTGTCAACATCCAGCCCGTGAAGCCTTGCTGCAGCGGAACCCGCGAGCCATGTTACTTGCGTGTCTACGAGGATTTTCGCATTGACCTGGCCGGCAGCTCCACAGGTGGGAGAGTCACCAGGGCCACCTGCGACTCTGAAGGGCCTGGGGGTTTTGGCAGCTCTGCAACACCCAGAAGCGCGAAGTGATTCGTAGGTGGGGAAGATTTCGGGAGAGGGATCGATGACCACTTGACACAGTGAACTCTGGTGGATAGCAGCGGCACCTGCAGTGAGTGAGATGATGGAAGTATCACACATAGCTTGCTTCGCGAGGCTTGCTTGAATCTTGATGCTTCAGACCCTAAGTGTCATGCTGACATGCCAGCCGGCAGCTCTGACAGGAACCATGTACGGCCTTGGCGCTTACTTCGCGGAGCACATTGCTTGCACTGTTACGTTTTGGGCCAGCTGCGTGAATTCATTTTCGAAGCAGACCTGAGGTCCTCAAGGCAATGCAACCTGTATACATCAGAGAGACTTGCCGAGGCACTGCACAAAAGCAGACGAGTACGCAAGTGATGAGCCAGGTGGCTACTACGAAGGGGCCACTTTGCTGGACTGATTGCACTTGTGCATTCGTTGTTGCTCCTCGGACAGAGGAACTCTCGCGTGACAACGGCATGTTCGTTCTGGCATTCGGTTCGCACTGCTAGGGAATCTTGTCAGGCTCCGCCGGCTAGCCGAGCGAAGACCTACCTTCTGCCTATAGCATCGCAAGACAACACGCAGTGGTGAGAAAAGCCAAATAAGACATGCCAAAGATCACATGGAAATGCATGTGCGTTTCAACTACTGCCGTCACAGAATAACTCAGCGGCAGACTGCTGCAGACGCGTAGTGCCACGATGTGCTAAGTTATCCGAAAGCCAACCTAGTCGCAGAAGACTGGCATGACAAATGCCGTCAAGGAGTCAATGTTTTGCACAGTTTAGTCAGCTGGGCTTCTCCCCGTCTAAGCTTGGTTGCACCTTGTTTTGCTGAGTCTCCGTGCCTGTTGAACCAGTGGCCGGCCCAGCAGGTTTTTGCACTTCTACTTTGCCGTGTTTGCTTGGGAAAGCTGCTCGACTGCAAGAAGCGACGTCGATGTCGCGTCTGACATTGTGTGAATGTATACATGTATACAAGTAAATAAATACACAAACAAATATAAATATACATATATATATATGCATGTGTATATATATATATATACACATACATGTTCATATACAAATACATATACGTATACGTATACATATACATATACACATACATACTTACTTACATACACACATAAAATCAATTATTTATTTATTTTTCAGATGCACGCTCGAATGCTGTCATGCGCAGCACAAACTGCAAAGCGCACGCCATCCTACCGCACATCTGCACGAAGCCTGCGAAGTCTGCTCTGGAGCCATTCCAAACTTGAAGTGCAGGTTTTACTACACGCAGGTCCAGCGCTCAGCGTTCAGCGCGGAGGGGGAATGCTTCCTGTCACGTCGTTCTTGACCGATGATGGTGCATGCAACCTGTCTCCTCTGCGTTCAGGAAATAGCCAGCTGATCCAAAACTTTCCACTTTTCTCCTCGAAGCAAACGCAGAACACTGGAAAGTGCCGCTTCTTCCAGAGCAGCACAGGTACAGATCTTTAGTCGCAGGCACGCGCTATAGCAAGTGTTCGGCAGTAAAACAAGGTGAGAGGCCGAAAGGCCGTTAAAAAACGAAAGACAACACTCCCAGAGCTCTTTGCACAGAAAATAAGACTTGGAGAAAGTAACCTGGGGAAAAGGAGAGCCCAAATGATGCAAGGCTCCTGTACTGCAAAGCAGACCCGAAGTCTGCCTCCGTCATGATTTCACACCGCAGTAGCCGCTAACTAGATAAGCTCTTGTTCGCATTTTCTCATTCAACTGTTGCCTAGCTGTACGTAATGTGAGTCAATATTCTGGCCGTGGCGAGTTCTAATATGGGTTTTCCACCCTACGGCCATGCCAAGAGCAACGGACAGCTCATGGCATGACATGAGGTCCGGGACACAGAAGCTGGATCACATGTGCGGAGCGGTGGCTACGACAGTACTGTCGGGGATCGACTGACGAAGGCAGCCCCTCGGCGGCGACAGTGCTTCTGAGGTAACCATGCAGCCGAAGACATGTTCTGCAGGTTCCTCGTGTTTAAGTTCCATGCCACTCCGAACTCGTCGGAGCTGTAGCAAAGGACACTTTCCGGGAGTTTGTGCTGTACAACGCCGACGCCGCTCGCTTGAGCAGAGTGGTCAATGCCAGGGTAACGGAGAGAGGCAGATCTCCAACAGGTCCCCCCCCTTGTCCCGAGCCCTGGCGAAGAAAGAGCAAGCCGGTGATGATTCTCTGTTGTACTTGTGCTTAAGGATGCAATCGGGCAAAGTGGATCGGAATGATGTCGTTTGTGTGTCATGTCAGCTTTGAACAGCTGGTTCATGACATGTGTTTATCTCCAGCAGCTGATATTTCCTGAATGAAAAATTAGATAGAGCATGTTTGATCACTTGCAAAATCAAAGACCGGTGTACATCTCTCTGATGTAACTTTCACCCCTTCCCATGGTGGGCTTGATGTCCTGGCGAGGGAGGCAGCTCAACGAAATGCTCCCACCGCAGTGCCTGCAGTGCAGCGGCTCCCCAAACGGCACCGTGTACTTTTGAAGCAGTCGTGAAACAGTGTTCTTGAGGCTTCATGCCATGACGACTGAGCGACAACGGGGGCCGGAGATGTGGCTGTTTTCTACCAGTAGGCACTTGCGGCGAGGCGAGGGGGGCTCTAAGAAAGAGAACGAGTGCGCTTTGCAGCGCTGACGGAATGCAAAACCTGCCCAGTCCACAATCAAGAGGATGTCATGAGCCAAGGCGATCTATCCCGAGTATGTTGTCCTCTACACACGGGTTCATCATGCTGATCCTCCCGACAAAGTGGCAAGGCAAATCAGCAGTACGAGCAGTTGCCGGCACCGTCCATTCAGTCTAGTGTTTTTGCAGGGGCCTGTGACACATCAGGCTGACCGCAGACCTGTATCATTTGCAGCTGCCCGTTTACTGGGCGAATTGCACCTGGCTTGCACCTGGAATTGAGTGAAGAGCTGTGTACAATCTGTTGTGCTGCCCCGATCTGGTGCCTCAGATCTGCTTCAGGTGATAAAGATCCGTTGCGGCAGCCGTTTCACGCGCCCCGGCTGCCGCTGTTTTCGAAAATTTGATGACACGCTCAACGGTTCATACGGATTTGGAGCCTGTGCTGCCTCGATGGTCAGGGTTTGCAGAGGAGCACCGCGGAATTCATATTAGTGGGTGGTGCATAGACTCGTGCTGCCTGTGTTGGTTGGTTATGCCGAGACATGCAAGAGCATTGGATCGGCACCTCCAACTTTGTGAGACCCAACCACTTTCAGGAGCAATTCTTGGTTGCACAGTACACAGAACCTTGGCTGCACCGCGTTAAAGTTCTGATCACGTTGTAGCGCTTCTATATCTTTGACAGTCAGCCCTACCAGCAGGTAGGAAATCAAGACTGTTGCAGCACAAGCCTTGCTTTACAAAGCTTTGTGGGGCAACCCTTCCGCTGGTCGTCGCTGGCGGCCTATGATGCTCAAAAGTTTTGATTGGAATCGAAGTACAAGTATGACAAGCAGTGAGCTGCACACCTTCCCATCGAGAATCCATCAAGCTGTCACCTTCAGAGCCGAAGGGAGTGTCCGACATGTCAGACTTCGGCTGTGAGCTTCTGCGCATCCAGGTTGCGTTGCTTCAAGAGAGATTTGGCTGCAAAGTTTGTCATTGATGTTTGCGCAGGGTGGATGGCCAAGACTTGTTCTTTCTATGCCAATGCATAGGACATCCCTGGATAGCCTTCCTTTCCAAAACCTGCAGCCGACTGTGATGGTTGAAGAGAGCGCTCTCGAAGCATAGGTTGGCGAAGGCCTGCTTCAAGGGCACGGGCTCTGTTGAAGTGGTTCGTGCGAAGCGCATCGAGCGCCAGAGCTGAACTGGCTTCTTTTTCGTTTCATGGCCCCCAAGCATGTCGCAGGTTTTCAAGGTGCTGAATCGCCACCAGAGCCTGAGGAACTCGCAGGTGTGGCAGAAGTATGTGGAGCATAAGCGGCTGCTAAGTTGCAAATCGCGCAGCAACCGAATTAGATGATGTTCTTCTCGAAAAGCACGGACTTGACGATAAACGGCAGATTTGTCTGGTACACCGGAAGCAAGGTTGGAGACATAGACAGGGTTGTGCAAACGACATGCCGAGGAAGATGCTGCAGAAAATTCAGGCAGCGCTGGGGACTTAGCTGTCCCCGAACCACCTTCGACATCTCAAGAGACGACCAAAGAGTGCCGCAAACCTGATCAAGTTGAGCGTCTTGGTCACCCTGCGCATGCTGAGTGAAATTTCAGAGGCGGGCAAAGCAAGAGCGAGTGCCATCGCTAGCAGCTGTAAGACCCACCGACCAAGACGTTCCAAAAGCGTGGTTGGCCGAGGAAGACAAACAAACCCGACTTCAAGTTCCTCACAGCCCGCGACCTCGATGATGCACACGGTGGCTGAAGGGCTGGAGGGTTCCGAAGCTGGAGGGTTGGTGCTGATCTGGGTTTGATCGAAGTTCGTTTCGGGACTTCATCGTAAGCTTGCTTAACACCAATACGACCGGCCCAAGACCGCGGGGCATGGGTGGCGGGGGGTGCGGGGCAGCGTTCACTGGATTTCTGAAACTCCTGCAAGCTTCATTATTGGTGTGGCAGTGGTGAAGAGATGTGACTGAAGAGGTGAGATCCTGACGTTCAGCTTCCTCAGCGCGAGGGACTCCACCGAAGAGTGCGTGCTGTCCTGAGCACCGCGCGCTGATGAGGAATAGGGCCCAGGAATGGCTCGCCCTTTGAAACTTCTACCGTAGGCAGCTGTGCATGCGCACATCTTGCATGCACATTGCTCAGAGCAAAAGTTTCGGAAGTTGGGAAGATGATTCTAACATAATTTGACAGTTGTAGGCAGTCTTTCTCTGTCACTCGCTTCTGTCCTTCAAGCTTGTCAGAGCAAATGTCGAGCCGGCGGGTACAGATTCTGTCGCATTTTCTTCGTGTGGGAAGCGATTGCAGCGTTCGCCTGGCATGCTAGGTGTCCATCACTAACTTGGAAGAGCCCTTGAACGAGAACCTTCTGTGGTACTGCGGCTGCAGAGTGTTACCCTGCCACTTTCGCAACCACGTGTGCAGGGTATCGAAACCATGAGTGTTCTCCATGATTCCATGATGGCCAGATTCTCAACCAGCATGGTGAGCGGATGTGGCTTTGTGTGCTGATTATCTTGCACACGAGCCTCACTAGATCGGTGTAGGATTTGAATCGTCTTTCAATTGAATTCTTGCCCAAGCAGTAACATGCTTTTGACAGCCGGAGCTAGCCAGTATCGTGTTTCCAGAGCTTCAGATCTTGAAGGCATGGCACATCGAAAGAAGCGGCTGAGAAGATTGCCGAGAGCGACTTCAAGATACCTGTTGGGTGACTTGGACGTTACGGTCTGCCTGATGTTTGCACCATGGCAAGAAGCTGTCTTGAATGCCGGTTCTGCCGTGGCATGAGCGTGACAGAATATCCCGTATTATCTCGTTGCCTACCCATGCGCCATGGCACCAGAGTGCCAAGGAAGGACATGAAGCACGCTGCTCGTTTTGGAAACGGAGCCTATTTGGCAGAGGGCTTGGAAAAGGCCGAACCCGGAGTGTCGAGAGAAGCATCGGATTTCGCATCGCTACTCCGAGCGTCGCGTGCACTTGTATGGGAGTGTTCGAGAATTTGGGACTAATGGCTCCGGTATTTTTTGCAGTCTGCGGTAAGGCGGGGCAGCTGCTGCTCTGTTCTGACACATGCTCGCTGGTTAATGGTCTCTTCTGCGGCAACAAAACGCCACATCACGCTGTGCGGGGCCGGCAGACGGTCGTTTGATGTTCCGCGTGGCCACTTCATTAAGTCTTTAAGAGGCTGCACGGCGCAGCCTTCAGCAGCTTTCGTAAGTAACCTTATACACTCATGGCTTTCCTGTGTCTGGCTCTGCTGACAAGAATTGGTTAATTCAGTTCCGCGTATCTGCGTATCGGGAGATGAGCTCTTTCCACCCAGAGAAGACGAGCGTGAACCTCTCTAGATGATGGTCAGGGTGCAGTTCGACATCCGCAGGGAACCGGCGGTGCTGGGCTGGGTGGGCAGGGGATCCCAAATGACCCATTTCCTCTACCACCGAAAACAGGCCTGCATTTTGTCTGCCTCTGGGCACCGGTCTGCATCATGTGTAAACGGGACTGTGCCTCACAGCCCTGTACCTCACGGATGACCTTGTCCAGCTTTCAGACATGTCATTCCTGCTGTTTGGAATATGCTAGCATAAGATTGCCACCTCCTGGCTCCTTCTAGCGAGACGACTGTCTAGCACTTAGGCCCAGCGATCTGGTTAATTAGGGTCAGTATAAGGTTATGTGCTGCGTCGCACTGTGCGAGTCTATGGGGGTCATGCTTGTTCGTGCCGTGTGGGTTGCAGCAGAATTGGAACTATGCTGTGTGTGCGCAGTCGCTCTCCTACACGGAGCCCACGAACGACGGCACCCGTATTGTGCCTTGTCACATTTGGAAAGCTTGGTTGCCCTTCAGCTGGTTTATCTGCATGCTAGTACATCCTGAAAGCAGGATGTGGTTCTCATATATTGACAGGCGGCGTCTGTGTGTGCGAATGCAGAACACGCAAGTCACGCAAGAAGCCGGCCTCTAGATTGCCTCTACATTCATTCATCTGCAACTTTCGCGGACACGATCCCACGTTCTTACCGTGTCTGGCCAGCGCTGGCTCTTTGCTCAAGGTTCTTCTATGCAGGACTCTGTGTGGCGATTTCTACTACACTGAGCGGCATACGGAAATCAATGCATCCCAGCTTCGCACCTTGGAGTCGAAGATGTGCGTAGTGAGAGTGCCAGACGCATGTCCGGAAACCATCAACATACCGTAGAGCTTCGCATGGACATGCATGAGCAAGGTTGCAGATTTCGGTTTCGGTAAAGTTGGCGTCGTACTTGGAATCGTTTGACCGTCCATGACCAAATATGACCGACGGGCACCCGCAGGTGATGCTCAAGGCAAGCATTCAGTCCTCGCAAATCCGGAGCGTGCCTTGCCCCGGACAGACTTTCGGGCTTTGTGTGCAGCTGACACGCAAAAATTCAACTTGTGGTATTGGGGCAGTCTACCCTTGCTCGCCCTCTGCAACGACCTGCAAACTGAGGGAAAGGTCCGCGAGAGTTCATTGTGCCGACCGCAGACCAGGTGTACCCTGACGCCGTGAAAGCATTAGCTCAGCTGCGCCACAATGCTCTTAAGTTTTTGGCAACGACAGTACCTGACTCTCCATCAAGGAGTTTATTCTGGAGCTCAGTGTGAAGGATTGGGAGCCGCCTCCTCCTGCACCAACGGCCTGCAAGAGTAATCGCTGTGTCTAGAGAGGTGGCGACACAAGAGGTCGACTTCGCGGATAGGCCGCGCAAGCCAAACTGTTTCTGATAGTTTCTGATACTAACGAGGCCTGCTCGAAACATCTCGAAACCGTCTTTAGACAGCATACGTCGCCAGAGCTATGTCCGAAGACTTGCAGCTGAGGTACTACTGCAGAAGACCAAGCTACAGGTCCAGGTTCCCCGAGGCGGATAGCCGAGCTGAACTCCACATTGCCACCGCGAGCCTGATCGATGTAGTTCAGGGAGTTTCCGTGCGTCCGAGCACCTGGAAAATTCCGGGTTCGGACAGCCGAGCGTGACCGGTTTGAGGTGTGGGGCCTGGCAGCTTGATCGCAGTCCAGGCGCCAACCTCGGATGGCTGCAGACTCGACAGCGGGCTCACTTTGCGTCTTTCCTGACTGCCCTGACTCTGACCTCTCCGGGCGAGGCTCCCGATGGCCGCCAAGTCCAGGTTGTATTGCCGGCAGGCGCTGTGCCTGGTGCTACGCCACTTCGTGCTGCAGCTATTTGGGTGGTTGTCAAAATTATGGTCCCTTTTTGGGTCCTTATTATACTACGGCACCTATTATTTAGGGTACCCCAAAAGGGACCATAATTTTGACCACTACCCATTTGCTTTTGTGTTCCGAAGGTTTTCCTCTGAGCCACAGCTCAAGCCCAGGCTCGAGCTCGAGGTCTGAGAGCCCTTGCCCCCGTGCACTGCGCCTTGGCTTGGGCTTGATCTCTGTTCTGACAGCCTTCGTGGCGACATTTCGGGTTGCAGACGGGTGCAGGGTGTAGAGCCGAGTTGTCCAGGGCTTGTCAAATTATGCCGAAGATTGGTTTCTTTCGGGCTGGATTTGGGGTGTGGCGTGTGTAGATGTGCTCCACTGAAGCCGGACCAACAGAGCTGCTCTGTCCGACTATCATTCGACTTGTCTGCAAGGCTAGGGTCGTGGAAGTTATCTTGCGTTTGGCATGAGGGGATCAGTTTAGTATTCTTCATGTGTAGCTCGTTTCGAGATACGTCGCAAGAAGAGGCTCGAACAGCTCGCTGGGTAAGCTTCGTGTTCAGTTAGATATACGGTACTCCGGCAGTGAATTGCCAACTGCTCCGAGACTCGAGTCGCCTCGTCTCTTGTACTAGTTATAACTCGTAGAAGATCCACAGAGCGGCCATCCTGAAAATTCAAGACAATTGGCTCCTCCAACTCTCGTGTGCGTGCACACAACCGCATAGCAGAGATTAAGCGTGAGGAGCTGGTTTCCCGGACCCACGCCAGTGTCATTTTCGCTTACGCTCGGCTGCAGGAATGCGCCGTTGACTCCCCGATGGCCAGCTGCCGAAGGGCAGAATGTGACAGGCCTTGGTTGAGGTTACGCAGGGCGCGCAAACTTGTCCGGGAAAAATCGCTACGCCCGAAGACTGGGAGAAAGATGGAAGGGGTCAGGATACACCAGACTTGGAAGCCAAGACCAGTACAAGCCAATTCTGAAGATTTGTTTGATTGCTTGAGTTCAAGCAGAGGGAGGGCCGGAAAGGATTTGCGCTCTTATCCTGTGATTGAGCGTGGGGGAATTGCTTGAATCGGTACATGCCTTGCAAAGCCCATCGGTGACATCGTTCGATCATACTTGCACAGCGCAGACTGACTAAAGTTCAACTGGCCGTTGTTTGACCTGCCCGGTTAAGAGTGTGCCTGCTTTGAACTTTACATTGGTTTCGAGTTGAGTTGGAGGTGACGATGCGGTGTTGAACTCACTCGTATGGGGACAGTCAACAATGGGTTTGCTAAGGCGTCCTTGGCCACACATAGTATGCCCCGGAGCATGCGACCGCTTGGCTTTTCAACTATTGAAGGAGGGGTGGAATAAGGTCATCAAGAGTCCGGGCCCGAACCAAGCAGAGAAGAAGTTGACGAGAGTTCAAAGGTAGGATGCTTGAGTGTCGCAAAGTTGCCTGGAACCTCGGTTCTGCAGCCTTTGAGCTCGGGCACATGGAGCCACAAAAATCTGAGGGCCAGCAGCACCGAACAAACGAGACCTCAGTCATCCAAGGCCTTGAACCAACATCATGGGATACGGTACGGTTCCTTCCGACTTTAGAGGCACGGGCGCAGCATGGAAATAGCACCGGCCATTTCCCGACCCAGCTGTCGTGGATTTGACTGCGCGGTCGGTGCAACCACATCTCCAGCCTTCGGGGCCACGAGGATAAAGGCGGACCAGATTGGCATTCAAGCATTCCGCTCTCTCCTTGATTCTCCTCCTGGTCAGTTCTGTCAGACCTTTCTCGCTGCTCGCCAACATCCTCCAACGATTGAAAAGCTGGGTCACAAATCAACATCAACGTTTAGCTTGGAGGCCGTGCCCCCGCGCAAACGCTGGGCATCTGCACTGTGCATACCCTTGGCCTTGAATCGCCTGGCGCCCAGCTCTTGCCACACACTGCTTGGTGGCTTCGGGCTGGCATCCTCGCAGTCACGTGCACGCGCGCATCACCGGACAGCTAGGCATCACACATGCTAAAATGGCTTGGTCAGAGATCACCATGTCCAGGCATCAAATGGCGGAGGCAGCAGCCCCCAGCGCGCATCCGCCGCTGTTCCTCGCAGGCTCGGGACTGGTCGCGATGCGATCTACCACAGACCTAGGAAGAGGAGGTAGCCCGACACTCCCGCTCCGCTCCGACAGGAACATCTCGGATTGACACTGCCTACAACAGTACTAGCGGAGCATTGCTCCAACCCACGACATTTGAGCATCATGTGTTTGAAGGTTAGTTCCTGCAGGTGCCACTGGAGAAGCATCTCTGGGAAGCAGGCAGGGACAAGAAAGCCTTGCTGAGAGAATCAAGTCAGCGCAGGACCTTCAACCGCAATGCCTGTGCCAAACAATTGGTCACAGCTTCACAGGATACAGAAGTGACTTGATTGCGAACTGCAAAAAGACCGGCACGACGGGCCGGCAGCAAGCTTCAAAACACCATCACTCAAGCGAAACATGCGGAAGGTTGGATTTTCACAGTGCCAGTCAGATCTCGCAGTGAATGGGTTCAGCCCACGGAGGCAATTCTTACGTACTGCTGGAGCTGTGCCTCGGAACTGCAGAGAGTGCTCGCTAGGCTCTGGGCTGTCATGGCCCTCAGACACTTCGTCTCGGATTCTGTTGTTAGCTTGAGCCTGCCGAGAGGATTACAGTGCTGGATCCAAGGCCAGTTCGCGGAGGAAATCATACAGTCAAGCTGAAGCGGTATGCATCTTGGACGAAGCGGGATTGAAATGCTTCTATTATTGTGTAGACAGGTGCCAACGGTTGAAAAACCGGTTCGCACCTGCTGGTCCAAGCTGGTCCCCGCATCAAAGAGCTATGAATTGTTGAGACTGTTTTTAATTAAAAACACTGTTTGTAATTAAAAACAGACTAAACGCGGCAAAACGGCTCCGGCTTTCGAAGGAGCAAGGCAGATCCGGAAACCGGGCAGCTGTTCTCGTCCTCCACGATGGGCCTGGCCTTCCTTCCAGGCATTTTGGCATATTTTGGCTTTCAACTACATGGGTAGTGGTCAAAATGATGGTCCCTTTTGGGGGTACCCTAAATAATAGGTGCCGTATTATAATAAGGACCCAAAAAGGAACTATGATTTTGACAACCACCCACATGTTGTACAGCTCCGTACAACGGTTCATGACCGCACAAGAACGAGTTGGTTCACGCAGATTGTTCTAAAGTTCTTGTAGAACCTGCGGGCGTCGCCCGCAGCGATGTGTGTTCGAAAGATCAGGTATCTGGAGCCTTTAGCGGCGAGACTCTGTGCTGGCAGACTTTGCTTCATGCCGCTCGGAATCTCCGGGTTTCGATCAGTCATAATTATCAAGGAGCCTCAGGCCAGGGAGCTTGCACCAGGCAAGAATGCAATCAGAAGAAGACTCAACATGGACACTCTTCCGCAACTCCTGCGTTGGGTCCCTTAAGCTTTGAGGCCTTGGATCGACAGCATTAGAGGGAAAATATCTTCCACTACTTGCCCGTAGGCCGTAGATTACTTCTCCGTGATGCAGATGCCAGACAGTTCAATGACCCCACGCTTCTTCGCGAGCAGGCCTACGACGAATTGCTATGCCCGGAAAGAGCACAAAGCAAACCAAGCTAGGTACGATCAATTGGGCTGCGGCGTCTCTGCAACTGATCCACCTCTCGAAGAGGAGTTCGTCGGTCCGTCCATTCAACTTGAGCAGCCTTTTCAACAGTTCGAAACAATCGTCTGGCAAGCTGCGCGACTTCTGGTTTGCAACCGCGCTAGTCTCGTGCTTGATTGTTCAACTATACTGGCCTGCCACAGGACGGGATCCACCCTGCTGTTGCCGATCTGTGCGATGTGCTCTCGTTCCTGCGTGGACTTGGGCAGGTCGTTTGGGCCGTCTGCAGGTTGTGGTTGCTCTGATCTATCCTTTCCATTTCGCAGTAGAGCAGCCAACAAGGGGACGCGCACAGTCGCACAATGTTGCACAAAGTCACCATAGACGCCGAGTCGCTGCCCGTAAGACTGCAAGGCCTGCACGTCCGCCGCTCCCCTTTAGTCGGGTGTCCACGTCTCTGCCTAACGACGCGCGTCGTCAGGACGAAATCCATGTCCTGGCACACGGATATGGAGGCAAGAACTAATTGACTAGATAGAATTGTTGCTTGCCTCATGCGTCCTTCGACACTGGATGTATGTAGATTCAGATCCTACCAGTAAAAGTCGCAGACTGTCCGGAAGGTGCTCTCATCATGGAGGCCCTTGTCCGAGATCGTCTGTGGAGCGATCCAGACAGCACGCTACCAAAGTTGAAGTCGATCTGCTTGAACCTTGGGGGCAACTGCACAAGCTGCAGGGTAAAGCTCGCCTGTAGGCAGGAAGGGTTGTCCGAATTTGGCAAGGATGGGCGTGGCCAGCAGCACCGCACGGGCAGATGCTGAGGCCCTGTGTCAAGCATTGCCGAGGGTTTACAGCTAGCAAAACTTTTCGATCATGCCCCTTCCTAGGCTTCGCTTATCCTCATACCGGGCCTGTAGCATACTGCCAGCTCTGCATGGTGCAGGGTTGAGTCGACAGAGCCTTCATCACATCTCGAATACAAGGTGCATTATCTCTTGAGTCCTGCACTTCCAGAAGTCCTGCCAGGCCCGATCTCTGATGGAAGCATGTGTCGTCGGCTCAGCAGTTCGGGAAGCAGCTCTTGCCATGCCCCTGCTGCCTAAGATCACATGCAGGTGAAATCGCGGTGTGGATGCGTGTTGTGCCGTGAGTGGAATCCAAAGACATAGAGCCGACACAGCCCAGGTCACTGACATTGGAGACTCAGATGCAGCAAAATCCTTCTGGTATCGCTACTTGGACGACGATGCCGCATCTATCAAGTGACGCGAGGGCTTT